AGTGCGAGCCAGATTTGAGGATCTCATGACTGGCATTGATATCGTGGCAAGCTCCGGCTCCGCATCTGCAGTGTGTTCAGGCTGGTTCGTCGCTGGGGTGGGGGCTGCAGCTGGCACTCTGTTTTCCTCCTCACTCTCGTAGATGGTGATGTTGTGGAGGAGTACCCATGTATGTGCGTTCTTTCGATTCAGGACTTAAGGTTGTCCGGAAAAGGTGTGTAACTCAAATCAGTAACCAAGGCAACAAACAAGGAAATCAGATAGGGAGGCAGGCAAGCAAAAACCAAAAAAAAAATAAATAAATAAACATAATCCTGATAGTAGGGAACAAGACACTTCATAGCGTGCCATACTCCTCAGTCCTGCTTTATTTCCTTAATTGGAAATCTGAGGGGTGATGGCACGATTGTGTCCTTTTGAGGTGTATGTGATGTAGCGCCTCAGTGGACGGTGCAAGCACCATCAGCCAATGATTTGTCATACTTCTACATGGGCTTTTAGACAGGGCCATCCTTAGCTGACACGGGGCCCGGAGCCATGTAGGGAAAGGGTGGTGGGTTTGGGTTTCCCCCTCGGTCTGTTCGTCATGGGGGCCCCTTCAAAGCGCGGGGCCTGGTGCAACCGCACCAGTTGCACCACCCAAAGGACGGCCCTGGTTTCAGAAAATTGTCACACCCAGAGAGTGTCTCCATAGTGTCAGTTACTGACACAGCATCTCGTTCCCTACTCTGGGAACCAAAGATACATACATAACCGTGATGTTTTGCACCAGACACCAGTGTTAGGGGTAACGCATTACAAGTAATGCGAGTTATGTAATCAGATTACTTTTTAAGTAACTAGTAAAGTAACACATTACTTTTAAATTTAGAATGAAATATCTGAGTTACTTTTTCAAATAAGTAACTCCAGTTACTTTGTTTTCCATGTATTGACTGACGGCTCTCGTGTTGCCATGTTGAGAGAAATCCGGAGTAAGTGCAGAGGCGTTGTGTGCGCTGTGTGAACCTGATGATACTGTAGACCTAGACTAAATATGAACATGTATTTACTCATCTCATCCACACAAAAACAGATTCGTATTCCTCAAAATGAATAAAAACTGTCGAATGCAAACTCAGAATATTATACAAACCTGCAAATATAATTTTTGTTTTTAATCCCATTTTATTACTCAGTGTCTTTGCTACTGACCTTCAATGATCCATTCCAATTCAACCATACTAATAAGCAAAAATGACACATTTGTGTTTCATTTTTTTCAGCCACTTGTATCTGCAGTCTCGTTATTTTAGATCACCACGCAAAGCATATGACCATAGGTGATGTCGTCATAAGTTATGACGCAACTGAGAATCATATATAGCCTATACATATATGTGTGTATCGAATAATACATACAGTAAATATAGTAATGAAGTGTCATCACTTTACACCACTGATATTGTACTCCACGGAACCTACATTTGACTGAACCTGTAACATTCCTTTAATTCAGATCTTTTATTTATTTATTTATTTATATATATTTATTTTTGCTTTCAAACAATCAGCATTTGGCTATAAGTGCACTTTTACACAATCACTGCTTTTTAAATCAGAAGATAGAAATGCATGAAACCATAAAAACAATCATGGTTACAGATGCATGTAAAATCAATAGCTTTGCAACATTGTCACTTTCATTGAACTGAGATGGAACAACACAAACTAAGTTGAGCTGAATAATGACACTATTGTGTACTGTAGAGCTGCTTTACAGCTGAAATTGATTTTTTTTTATAAATTATTATTTTGATCCTCTAATGTGCTATATAAAAAAAAAGAAATTTACATTAAATATTGTTTTTAATTAGAACATGTACCTAGTTACTGTAATGAACAAGACATGTGGTTGCTCTGCTAGGATGCCTGTGTGAACTTGATATAACTCATTTCACACATCCACTAAAAATGACCAAAACATTTAAAAGGCAGTGCAAAAATGTCTAAGTGAAGTAAATTCTGAGAACAACTCTAGCAGCGTTTGTTTTAAGATGCTAGAAAGAAACAAAAGGTTACTTTAGAAAACACATTCAGTAAGGTGACCTTTTTCATTCTTTCGGTTTGTGTATCTGGCTCACAACAACTTTGTGTTCTGGCCAGCTCTGACTTTCTGTATGAGACTGGCATCTAGTGGACGTTTTAGGGTGTGAGTTTACAGACTTACAGACACGCCTGTTTTTGCACACGTCTTTTAAACACAGAACCAGGAAACCCAGTTGAGGGAGTCTGATCTGCTGGTGAGCTGTTGTCTGTGTGTCTGTATTGCTGTAGACAGTAAAATGGCTGAAGCCAGTGTTTTTTCAGTGGAGCAATTCAGCTGTCCAGTGTGTCTGGATCTCCTGAAGGATCCAGTGGCCATTCCCTGTGGACACAGTTACTGTATGAGCTGCATCGTATCAACTGCAGCAGAGAGGACCGAGAAAGAGGTATGAACTGAAATGACACATTTAATGCTGACACTTCAAGTGTTTCTCCTCACTGCAGTTATCCAGCTGTATCATGAGTGCATCATGTGATCTTCTCTCCCATTGAGAGTTACTACATGACGCCTCTGTGCATTTGAGCATGAGTTGAACTTTGCTCATTTTTGTAACATTGCTCAAGTTCTCTGCTCTAATCGAACATGCATCAGAGTTGCTGTTTTTGCTGCAAATTGCAGTCAGTTTAAATGTTCATGTCGGCTTCACATTCATTTATGATTGCAGAACATGACAGTAATAATCATATATGTCCCCTTCTTGTGAAAGGACTTCATGTCTAACCTAAATTCATGTAATTCTCTAACAACCCTTGAGAAACGCTGTAAAGAAGAAATGTTTTAATCAAACAGGCGCCTTTTTACATGATGCATTTTGTGATAGCGTTATGTAATTTGTCTCAGGTTTGCTGTTTTTAATTTCTCCTCCAGAAACACTTGAAGGAGACACAGAGTGAAATCCAGTAAATGTACTGAGCCTTTAATAAACTGACATTTATTATTTGATCCACACTAATTGAATAAGCATCATTCTGCTAATGGGAATGATGTCAGAAATGTTTTCTAGTGATGTTGTGGTTTTTACTATAACACTGGTTTCACTCAGGTACACTGCAGCAGTTAGGTGACCTGTTGAAACATGGTAATAATAGAGACCATTATGCATTATATGACTGTTTTATTTGCCCAATAAATCATTAGAATCATAATCTTAATTATGTTTAACCCTCTAATAATAATAATACCTTTTATTTATAGGCGCCTTTCAGGACACTGTACAAAGTAAAACAAATCAATAAAAAACACACAAGAAGCAAACACTATAACAACACACTAAACAAGCAGATCATTAAAAGCTATTCTAAACAAATACGTTTTGATCTGAGCTTTAAAATGGGAAACTGAATCCAGCTGGCGAATGTGCAGAGGTCAAGAGTTCCATAACTTCGGTGCTGCACAACTAAAAGCCCGACCACCAAAGGAACTCATCTTGAAGTTTGGAACAGACAATAAGTCTGCAGAAAATGATCTCAAAGAGCGCAAAGGAGTATACAAATGAAGACGATCAGAAAGATAATTAGGTGCCAAATTGTGAAGAGCTTTGTATGCAAGAAGTACAATTTTGTAATGTACACGATAATGAACAGGAAGCCAATGCAGCTGGAAAAGAATTGGAGATATATGTTTAAAAGTACGCGAGCGGGTAACTATCCTACCTGCTGAATTCTGGATTAGCTGTTGTTTTTCAGGAATACCAAATAAAAGATCATTACAATAATCAATCCGAGATGTAACCAATGCATGGATAAGCACTTCAGTTCTATGTTGGGAAAGTGAAGAACGAAGTCTGGCAGTGTTTTGCGAGGGTGAAAAAATGCAGAACGTGAAATATTACTAATATGAGAACCAAACGAAAGCAAACCATCCAGTATAACCCCAAGACTTTTCGCCTGGGTAGAAAACTATCAATAACCAAGGTAACGGATTGAGTTTTAGATAAAACAGACCTAGAACCCATAAAGAGGGCTTCAATTTGATTGGTATTTAACTTAAAAAAAAAAAGATTAGTCATCCAGATATTAACGTCCTGCAAACATTTAGTGAGCTCTGGCGCTCTTCGATAAATTTTGCCAGAAAAAGTTTATTTATTTATTATTTTTTAGAATGTTTCTTTACTTCATCGAAATGGTACAACGCATATAAAAGTTTTGGCACTTACTGCACAATTACTATTACTTAGCCTTACACTTAGTATACACTTACTAAAAAAATAAAACAGTCAGACTTGTACCCGTCACGGACAAAATTAACTTGTAGATGGAAACAAATGGGAAACTAATTTCATCTGAGGAAACATTTGGTACTGCACCCAAACAGCATTTGAAGCTCATTTATTAAGACATCAACCTCAAATTTGAAACATAACTAAGATGTTTAGATGTATGGCTTTGGTTTACGGTTTTAGAGTAAAGCCTGTTTTGGAAAATATGTATTTCACATAAAATCCAAAATTAGTATTTTTGTACATTTCCAAAGCATTTGAGATTTATGACAGTTTAAGTAAGAAATTTCATTTTCAGGTCTATGCTAATTACTGCCTAAATATAATTTATTAAAATCTAGCCCAACCTAAAAATACAAAATATTCAATAAAAAACATGATCAAACTAAAATATAGTACATTAATTTAAATGAAATATATGCTGATCATTGCCACATGGGGAGCACCAAAGAGTTAAACTTCTCCTCTCAATAATGCATCATGAGACAGTACATCTTTATTCATATCATTATTTAATTATGTGTTTTAAGTGGGCAGCTAAACACTGCATTAGTGAAGAATTAGCTGATAAAAAGCCGTTTTTAATTTAATTTTGTTATTTTCAAGGCAGTCATGTTTTGGAAGTTTGAACAAGAGACTGTGTGAACTTTTACCAAATATGTCTCTCATTCTTTATACTATGTCTTTCAGATTTTTTTCTGGTTTATTAATTGTTATTTCTGTAGAGTCTTCAGTCACTCTCAGCTCCTCCTGAATCTACAGAAAGCATCTCTGTCAGTTTCCTCTTTTCTTTTGATGGTGTGAGAGAATCTGTCTGTCAGCTGAGACACAAACTGGAGGATTTCTGCAAAGAGGAGATGAAAAAGATATCTGGTAAAATATTAGAGATTCATCTGCTCTCTGTAATGAGACAAACATCATCTAATATCATAAAGAAAATGTTAGAAATGTCTAAGGAATAGATACAGGTATCATTTTCTCTCTGAGTGTTTATATCTGATATTTTCACAGTCACTCACAGTAACATTGTTCCCAGGACCAGAGAGCACTTCCTACAATGTAAGCCACTAACCATTCAATTGAATTTGCCACAGGTTAAGTTCGCTTGAAGTGTAGTAATATCTACAAGCAAAATGAATGCTCCTGAGCTAAATTTCAACTGTCCCAGATGAATACTTATGCAATGGAATCATTTTATTTTTAATAAATTTGCAAAGATGTTTCAAGATGTTGCATCCCTGCAAAGATGCAAATGCTTGACAATTATGGTGTATGGAGTGTAGATTGTTGTGGAAAAAACTAATTTAAAGCAGTTTAACATAAGGCAGCAACAAAACAAAATGTGAAAAAAATGAAGCCTTTTGCAAGCCACTGTATATATATATATATATCTTTGAATGACATTTACATTTTGTATCTGTTATTTTCACAGAAACTCACAGTAACATTGTTCCCAGGACCAGAGAGGACTTCCTAAAATGTAAGTCACTAACAAACACAATGACACACACTAAGATACTTCATCTAGAATGTCTCTGGTTATGTACGTAACCTCGGTTCCCTGAAAGGAGGGAACAAGACATTGCGTAGCTCACACTATGGGGATTATCCCACTCCTTCCTCAAATACTGAAGCCTAATCGCATCGCGCCGGTAAATCTTACCGTCCAATGATGCTTGAGTGCTCAAGCTAGGGGTGGAGCCATCCGCTATATAGGTTGACGCCCAGCGTCATTAACTCAGACCCCCTGCTCGTACATCCTCTTGTTGAACCAGGGGACTAGCGTCAGCATGCATTTACATTTACATTTAGTCATTTTGCAGATGCTTTTATCCAAATTGACTTACACTTAGGGAATACATAAAGCGATTCTTCTTAAATAGGCAAACAGACACAGGAAGTCCTTTTAATACCAAGTTTCAGGCATTTGTTCAAATAAGTACAAGCTAGAAAGGGAAGGAATAAATAAAGAGAAAGACAAAGTTTATTTATTTATTTATTTTTTAAATTTAGGATGAAGTCAAGTAGCGTCGAAAGAGATGAGTTTTCAGCTGTCGCTTCAAAATTGTCAGGGATTCAGCATTCCGGATAGGGGTGGGAAGATCATTCCACCAGCCAGGAATGGTGAACGAGAATGTTCTGGAAAGTGATTTTGAGCCTCTCTGTGATGGTACCACGAGGCGTCGCTAACTAGCGGATCTCAGACTTCTGGAGGGGATGTAGATCCGTAATAGTGAGTGGAAGTAGGTGGGTGAGTCTGGGGCAGCCAGTGCAAGGAGATAAAGTGACGTGACATGTGGCCAGTTATGGTTACCCATACTAGGAATTAGTGCTCTGCATTTATCCCATCCTAAATGCACACACACAGCAGTGAACACACACAGCAGTGAACACACACCCGGAGCAGTGGGCAGCCATTTATGCTGCGGCGCCCGGGGAGCAGTTGGGGGTTCGGTGCCTTGCTTGAAGGTGGAAGAGAGAGCACTGTACATTCACTCCCCCCACCTACAGTCCCTGCCGGTACGAGACTCGGACCCACAACCTTTGGGTTACGATTCCGACTCTGTAACCATTAGTCCACGACTTCCCCACAAAAGGAGGCTGTTCTTGCATTGGCCGGGAATCGGACCAGGGTCTCCCGCGTGGCAGGCGAGAATTCTACCACTGAACCACCAAGAGAGGTGTAACATGGGCTTTTTTGGTCTCATTGAAGACCGGTCGTGCCGCTGCATTCTGAATCATTTGTAGAGGTTTGATTGTGCTTGATGGAAGTCCAGCCAGAAGAGCATTGCATTTAATGTAGGTTTTTTTGAGCAGTGGGGTTACCCGAGCCTGCTTGAATGCAGTGGGGAAAGTGCCTGTGAGGAGAGATGTGTTGATGATGTGTGAGTGCTGGTAAGAGTGTAGGAGAGATTGCTTGGAGAAAGTGTGAGGGGATTGGGTCTAGAGGGCATGTTGTAGGATGGCTGGAGAGGGGAATTTTGATACTTCTGCCTCAGTAAGGGCACAGAAGAAGAAGATGGGAGTTTTAGCAGTGGGTGTGGTTGGTTTGAGGTCCTGTGTGTGTGGGGCTGAGAATTTACTACTGATTGTTCTAGTGTTGTTTGTGAAGAATGTGTTGAAATCATCAGCTGTTATATAAGTGGTGGGAGGTGGTGGAGGGGGACGGAGGAGAGAATTAAATGTTTTGAAGAGATTACGTGTGTCTGGAGTGCTGTTGATCTTGTTGTGGAAATATGAAGATTTGGCAGTATGGACTTCAGCAGAGAAAGATGAAAGCAAAGACTGATACATACTC